GTCCAGCGTCCCATGAACATCGTCAATAAAGCACCAACCGGGACCGCACTTACACTCTCTTCGAGTTATATATAGCGAACATGACAGAACATACATATAGCATAATCACTATCTTACCCTTCCCGAACCACATAAACAAACGAACTAGGGGCTCCGCACACCACATAAACAAACGAACTACGGGCTGCGCACCCGTGCCGTCACGGTAAGTCAATCAGTAACCCGGGTTGAATTGTGGGGTCCTCGGCCTCGGTTCAACTTTATAAGGAATGACTAAGTTTGAAAAAAAAAAAAAAAAAAAAAAAACAAACAAGCGTGGGACGTTTCCCTGCTTACCGTTTGGCGGTGGTAGGTGCTATTCAGCATGCGATGCTCATGCTCGGCCGTTTTCCACCGAATCTGGTCATAATTGCAGCGAGATGCATCAAGGAACGTTCGTCCAATAATGAGTGAGTGGTTAGGCAGGGGGGTGGGCAGTCGGCTCACAGGCGGCGCCACGCAGCCCATGTGGCTGAATGATATACAGATGTCCAAAAACTCGAAGAAAAGGAGAAAAGAAGCGTGATACAACAGACATTGGTGTGACGAGGCCCTTAGCTGCCCCGACAGACTGACAGACCGACGGAGTCGTCAGGTGTTCGAATCCCAACGTTAAAAATTCATACGTACAAGAAGATTGTCCAACCTTTTCTCCATTAATAATAACAAACTCTTTTGTTTGTTAATCATTTGAATATAATATATGTTAGGGGCTGTTTTCTTCCCCCCCTCCTTCCCTCCTCTTGCCTCTCATTCATTTCAGATTAGAAAGGGCTGTTTGTGCAACAGAAAAAAAAAAAAAAAAAAAAAGAAAGGGCCCCACATAAAGGCCGGTACTGGGAGCCTTACCCAGTTTAGCTTTTTACAGGACCCGCCTTCTTCTTTTTCAAAAACGAAAAGAGGGGGTGCCTATTCTTTTTTTTTTTATTTTTTTTTATTTTGGCCTATTCCTTTCTATTCAATTCAATCAATTTGCACCGTTGTAGTCACCCTCCGGCCCCGCCGATGGGAGTCGTTGCACTACCTGCCAAATATGCAATGCAAAGTGGCGCGTGTATATTCCTGTGAATGGGGGGAAGATGCACCTCGGTAGCAATTCCATTGCAATTCCGGGCTTAGGTCCCAATAGCAGCGTGGAGTTTCCTCAACGCCTGAACCTGGACGGGTTTGTGGAAGTGTGCAGAAATAAAGTAAAATTGAGTTTGCTCAACCGCACATCTCTGCAAACACGTCCACATTCAGGCCTTGAGGAAACTCAACACTGGTAGTGGGACTTGGCCGCTGTTCGACCCCGCCATTGCCATGACTCGAGTTGCGGAAGCTCTCAGGCGCTTTTTGTGCATGTATCTTCGCCTAGAACGCGGAAAGATGCGTTCAGCATTTCCCTCTCACATTCGGCGGCGCGTGGCCGAGCCAACAATTCGCGTCGTTGTCACTGCTCGCGGCCCCGCCAGCGATATGAGCTCTTTTTTTTTTTTTTTGTTTTTTTTGGAAGCGATATCCATATGAGTTGCATTGCAGTACCTCTCCAATCGAAATTTTCGCGCGTGCATTTTTCGCTAGAAGGCCGGAAGATCCGCTCCTGGGCACCGTTTTGGTCCTTTTCACATTTGGCGTCGCGTGGTGGAACAATTACGCCCCCCCCCCCCTTTCCCTTTTGTCACTACTGTTCAACCCCGCCAGCGATATGTGTTGCAGTAGCCCGCCGGCACTCATTTTCGACTCCAATCAAACTCGTCGCTACTATCTTGGGAGAAGTGGGCTATGGTAGTCGTCGTTGCGGTAAGCTGGAGCTTCTTGTTGCTATCTCTTCTTCTTCTTTTGCATTTCCCCTCCGCTGTTCTCTTCCTCCTCCTCCTCCTCCTCCTCCTCCTCCTTCTCTTCCTCCTCTCACGCCGTTCGCGTGTTCCCCTTTTCCTCCTCTTCCTCGTCCTTTTCTTTCTACCTCCCCCGCTTCTCGTTTTCCTCCTCCTCCTCCTCCTCCTCCTCCTCCTCCTCCTCCTCGTCCTCCTCCTCTCCCTCCTTATGCCTCGTTCTCTGTCCCCCTGTTCTCTTCTTCCTCCCTTCTCCTGCTGCTTCTCCGTCTCGTTCTACCTCCTGTTCCTCCTCCTCGCTCTCCTCCTCCTCCTCCTCCTCCTCCTCCTCCTCCGCGTCCATCTCGTTTCCCCGCCTGTCCTTGTCTTCCTGCTCCTCTTGCTGCTGCTCTTTCTCGTTATCCCTCCCACTCCCCCTCCTCCTCCTCTGTCAAGTTCCCCCTTCCGTACCTATTTCTCGTCTGCTTCATTTCATCCCTATCCCTGTCCTCTTTCTCCTCCTCCTCCTCCTCCTCCCCCATGCCCGCTTCATCCCGGCCATCGCTCTCCTGCTACATTCTCCGCGCCTCCTTCCCACCGCTTTCTTGTTGTCTTCCTCCTTTTTGTCCTGTCCGCTTCTTCCTCCTGTCCTTCTCCTCCTCCTCCTCCTCCTCCTTCCTCCGCTCGCAGGACGGGGAATAGGGCTTAATTACTCTGAGACCTTTTGAAAGGAATGCAACTGACCGGGATTGCGTCCGAATTCACCCGTCCTCCTCTGGATTTCTACCTTCTACTCTCTTCCCTTGTAGCGTTGTCCTTGTGTATGGCCTTTTTGTAAATTATTTTATCTTTTTTTTTAAATAACAACAATTAATGATCTTATTATAGGACGTTTTCCGTTGACTAAGAAGAAGAGAGGGAAAAGGGAGATGATAGCGTGCAGTCTAACGGAGAATGACGGCGTCTAACGGAGTCTCATGGCAACCAGCGGAGGCTGCCAAGTGCAGGCGTGGGGGAAAAGAAGTGGATGGTTGGTAGGCACACGCACGGCACAAGTACAGGGGTGGGACGGAGACAGACGGAGGTCTCCGGTAGTTGCCGTACACAGATCAAGGACAGGCAATGGCGGAGATCTCCGTTAGGATTAACGGCGACTAACGGCGAGTAACACAGATCGGCGAACGAGAAGAGAGAGAGGAGCAGATCCGACGCGTCTGCTTATTACGAACGGAGATTTATAATTATAAAAAAAAACAAAAAAACAACGATGGGAGAGTAATGGGCGGAGAGTGATCGCGGAGGTAGGGACAAGAATTGGGTGATCAGGTACAGACGCGCGCGCGCGCGCGAGAGAGAGAGAGAGAGAGAGAGAGAGAGAGAGAGAGAGAGAGAGAGAGAGAGAGAGAGAGAGAGGAAGGGACGATGAATGAGGCTTGGTTGAGAAGAAGACGAGAAGACAGGGAGAGAGGAGAGGGAGGAGGAGAAGGAGGAGATAACGGAGAGACGGAGAGGAGCGAGAAAGAGAGAGAGAGAGAGAGAGAGATAGAGAGAGAGAGAGAGAGAGAGAGAGAGAGAGAGAGAGAGAGAGAGAGAGAGAGAGAGAGGACGGCCAGACGCACAGGAGGGATAGTCACAGATCGATTAACGACGCAGTAGTTTGGAGTGGACAGCGAGTGTTTGGGTGGGTGGAAGGGTGGAGAACAGGGGGAGACGCGGGTTTTTACAAGGTTATAGGAGAGGGGGGAGGGTTGGAGGATGACAGGATGGAGAGAAAGCAGAGGGAGGAGAAGGGTGAGGAGAGGAGGTATAGTGGGGCAAAGGGGACGGACAGATTGTCTTCAGCCGACAGTTAGGTACTTCTTTGAAGCGAGCTGGGCGCGCACTCTGTTTCCGCGGGTACCGCTGCTGCTGGGTTTGGGTGGACGGGGGGGAGGCCGCGGGGAGACAGAGCGCAAGCTCGCGCCAAGCGAAGCCGTTGGTTTCGCGGGGGACCTCGATCCCACGTTTCTTCTTCTTTTTTTTTTCTTTTTTTCTTTTTTTCTTTTCCCTTTTCATTTTGTATGGTTTGAGCTTCGATCCGACTATTTTTTTTAATAGATTTTCCTTTTCATATATGTGTATATATGTCCTCTTCTCCCTCTCTTCGATCCGACTATTTTTTTTAAATAGATTTACCGGGCAGCTGTGTTTGACTATATTTATATTGTCACATGATATCAGAGCAGAGCGCAAATGCGAAAAAAAAAAAAAAAAAAAGGAAGAAAAAAAGGAAAAAATGAATTCAGTTTTTTTTACCTTCTTCCTTATAACTCCCCCTGTTCAGAACCTCTTGCGCACAAGGCCGCCCACGTGGATGTAGGTTGAGCGGCGGCTGCCCCCGCGCCCGTGTGTCTTATCGACCCACTTGCACACAGCCAAAAGGCAAAGAGGCAAAGAAAAGAGGAAGGGAACAGCCAAATAAAACAGAGCAGGGGGCAAGATATATATATTTTGTGTATGCAATGGGCTGTGACCCAACGTGTCACGCTGTGACATAGTTTTGTTAACAGTTTGGCGTGCACTCTGTTTGCGCCTG